CAGCATGTTCCTTTTGTCTCAAACAGGAACAATCTTTCCCCTTCTAATAACTAATCTACAGTCTTAACAATCCATACTGCAATAAATAAAAAGCACATTTTTCTTTCAGTGTTAACCAGTACTGGAAAAGAAAGAACAGCAAACGTCTCACAGCCAGTGCAGACTTTCTGACTTCCACATTACAGTACATTGCTTTGCTTCCTCCAAATCCTGTTTACATGAGCAAGGTCAGGGGATGGAACATTAGAGAGCCTCTACAGTGATTTCCTGCTGCTGTCAGTAAAAACTACTGAGACATCATCAACTTTCACTTGTTCCCAACGGCTTATCAGGGACCGGAGGTTATGAGTGTATTGGCTTACATACCAAAAGAAAAAAAAAAAAAGGGAAACAAGACCTCCATTTTTTCCTTTTCAATAGCTCAAAAAACAAAGGCAATGTTAAGAAGCTTGACACACAGAAAAGAGTGGTTGGAAGAGGGGCAGTAATGTTTTCAGGGTCTTCAGTGAGATAGAGGTGAAAAAGAACCCACTCACGTAGCCCCAAAAACATTGACCCCAGTTCAGGGAAAGTTTTCACAGCGTAAAAGGCTAGCATATACCTCAGTTTCAATAACTGCAACATATAAACACTCTTAACATCAGAAAAGCCAGGGCATTATGCAAACTAGCTACGTAGAATATACAGCTTGTTTGCTTGTTTTTATATACATTTCAGTAACAGACGGGAAACAAGTAAATCAATCATCAAATTAGCTAAAAAAATAGCTTAAAAAAGCCATTTTGCTGAAAATACCAGTATATTGACTTAATTGACTATATTGAGGATTTCTTAAAATGTGATTACAGTTCAAAAGAAAGTAGCTCTGTACTGATAATTACATTTAAGTTATTACACTGACACAATGACTATGTTCCCATTTCTATGTTCACGAAGTAAGTTGCTTCAGTTTGGATCTTAGACAAAAGCATACTATTCACTATGTTTGAAAATAACTGGCCCTATACCATATAACTTTGTACAAATATTGAAAAGATGTGCTGCTTGGAGTTTAATAATTTGCGTAGTTGTAAATAATTAACAACTATAGTATGAAGCTGCACCTTAACAATCTAGAGTTGTGTCCAGTTTGGTATTTCAGTACAAGATTGTATGTTGACAGATACTGACATTCTGGGCAAATCCAGAGGGAGAAGAGCAAGACAGATAAGAGGCTGAAACACGTGAAATTCAGGGAGAGGCTGAGAACCAGGTTTGCTCAGCTTCAAAGAAGGCAGGCCACATGGAGATCTCACTGCCACCTAAAATATCTAACGGGTGAAAAGTGAAGAAGATTGAGCCAAAAATTTATGAGAAAATCACTGTGACAGAATTAGGGACAACAGATAAATTGGAACATGGGAAACTCTAGCTACATATTATGACAAATATTTTCACCAGTATAACATCATAGCAAACTGCCTGGATGGGTGGCATGACCTTCATTGTTACACATGCTCACAAAAGAACTGGACCAGGCCCTGCAGAACCTCATCCAAATTAGCCTTGCTTTAAGGCAGGGGACAGATGAAATTACTTCAGATGTCCTTTCCAATCTATCTGTACAGAAGGGAGGAAAAGGTATACTTCTCTGCTTCAACAAAACATTACACAGTTTGGTACAGATGTCCATTCTCTCTGGAGATCGTTCAGGGATCTAGGGGAAACTCATCACAGATCCTACACAAGCTTTTCATTTGTTCTAGAGAAGTCTGTCTTTAAATACTTAAGACAGTGATTTGAAAAAAGGCTGGCTACCACCAGTGGCCCAGGGAATTGCCAAAATATTGTGCAAATTCTCCTTAGGGCCCTGCCATTGAATCACAGAATTGCTCAGGTTGGAAAAGACCTTTAAGATCGAGTCCAACTACAACCCATCCATACTACCTTAACTCTAACAACCCTCCACTAAATCATGTCCCTGAGCACCACATCCAAATGGTTTTTAAACACATCCAAGGATGCTGACTCAACCACCTCCCTGGGGAGCCTATTGCAGTGCTTAACAACCCTTTCTGTAAATAAGCTTTTCCTGATATCCAACCTAAACCTCCAATTGCACTGATCAAGAATCTTTAAGGATACGTAAGTACAGAGTGTATTTTTTCCTCTCTAAATAAACCAGAATGGATGAAGAATTGCTTAAGCTAAATAAAAATGACTGAAAAAGAATAAAGTAGGTAAACGCCGGTCTTTTGTAAGATAATCTGATAACCTGATCTAAGAACTTCAATTATCAGAAGAGCAAGAGCCTAGAAAAGAGTTCTTCCAGTGAATGTAGGACCAAAAACCACAAGTGGATTTGATACGTCTTGACAAGTTTCCAAAGAAAATAGTATACAGTTATATTATCTTTGATAATCAGTAGGAAAAGAGTAATCCAGAGGTTCAGCATGATGTTGGAGGTAACACATCAGGGAAGAAAATGAGCTTCATTAGAGGCTGATGACGTCTTCCAATACACAGATACACAAACACAGTACCATTCACACGATGCCAAATAGTATCCAGGAGGGAGAGCTGGCAGTGAAGGTGGGATGGGAAGAAATCCAGTATCTCCCTTCTGCATTTGACTTTTAGAAAGAAAACATGAAGGCTCTACATACTAGGGAAATCGAGATAGCTTCAGATGAAAGCAACCAAGAGATTGGATGGTTCACCCAATTAAGAAATAGGTAATCATTCCACAAACAACAAATGTAGGTAAGGTACACAGATACTGAATGGAATGATAACTCAAAAGGTAAGATGACATACAGCAGGGAGGACCAGATAAGGTTGCCAGAGTCTTGCAAAGTATTACTTACTGTGCTGGAGGGGAAAGTTAGCTGAAGAAAAAATACGGAAGATAAAGCAGTTGTCCTTATGTCTGTAGTCTGAATTGCAAGGATGCAGAAATAACACTAGATAGACAAAATATGCAGACTGAATACTGAGATGCAGAAAGGTGGGAACCAATGCTGAATAGGAGATGAAGATAATGCAAAAACAAAAACATAGTGATTACTGCCTGTCAAAAGAGATGAATATGAATTTTGAAGCAACATTTTTGTAATAAAAAAACGTAAAGCCAACTATACTGAAATGAAGAGAATGCTGTCAGTAGCGAGTCAAGTTAATCCCAGAATGAGTTCTGGGCATAAAATTTTATAAACTGCTTTCCTATTAAATGGATTAAGGAAGGAGATTAAATGATTGGTAGATTTATAGGTACATAACAAAGAATTACAGTGCAGCTGTACATTTGGATTCTGTGATCAGTATCAAGAACAGGAAGTAGTAAACAAGGCATATTTTGAATTGACAATCAATAAATTTTATCCACTGCAATCCTTAATCTGTCAAGCCTCCTAAAGAGACATCTGTGAGTCCGCAAATTACTTTTGACTGAAATTATCTCAGAGATCCATATTGTATTGTGAAATCATAACACATCAACTACAGCAACTTAAAATATATGGAGCTACAGGGCTGTTCCAAAAGTAATGCCTCCTATTTTTTTATATTGACCCACAACATCAGAGGTGAATGTTGGTGGTATATAGCATTAGAGGTTGAATCTTCCCACCAATATTCCATTACATTTTGTTGCCATATGACAGATGGCAGAAGAAGGGCAGTCTGACAAAGTCATATCTGACACAGAAGTGAGTCTGAAGCAAAGGTGTGTCACTGAATTCCTCAACGCAGAAAAAATTGCACACATTGACACTCATCCATGCTTGCTAAATTTTTATGGAGACCAAACAGTGGATGTGAGCACAGTGAGGCAGTGGGTGGTGTGTTTCAACAGTGGCAACAGCGACATGAAAGACAAGCCTCATTCTGGATGGCCTTCCACAGCTGTCACACCATAAAATGAAGAGCGTGTCAACCAGCTCATCCATGTGAATTGCCTAATGCTGGTGACTACGTTGAAAAATAGTGTTTTGTAGCTGAGAATCTGCTTTATCAAATAGTGTTATTGTGCTCTTTGTATCTATTGTGGTTTCCACAGAAATAAATAAAAGGCATTACTTTTGGAGTGACCTGAATACCATCTCTCACATTGAATTATTACGTTTATTTGTTTTTGAAGGAAAGGTTTATTTTAGGATGTGAACCTCTATCATGATTTTCACTGAACAACCTTAAAGCATTTTATAAACTATCCTCACAACGTGCCTTTTTGTAAAGCATTCACAACAAAGGAAAACAGCAGAAACCACACCTGCTGCCCACTCATATGTATTGACCCCTCAGCTACACAAATTCTTGTTATGGTAATTAAAATTGCTCAAGATACAAATCATACCTTCCCATGAAACGATTCAGAACGAAAAGATGTTTTCATTTAAATTCTAGAATAGTACATCTTCTAGGACTTCAAACTAGAAGAGCATATTTCTACTCCCACATGCAAAACTATGGTTAAAACATTTCATCCTTCTCCTCCCACATGCTCTAACAATGTCATACAAAAAGCTAACACTAGAAGGAACTAATCCTATGTTTCTCTCCTAAAATGTTACTTTTTTTTCTCCCCTGGAAAAACTGGAATTTCTACTGGATTCTCATCAGTGAGGCAACTACTCTATGTTTCTCATTATTTGAAGCTCAGGACAGCTACAAAAATTGTCTGAGAAAAAGGCAGAGATTTTAACAACAATATCTAGATAGAATTAAGATGGGCTTCTAATTAGAATTTCTGCTTAGAACATTAATGAAATTCCTAGTATAACGTGGAAGCTTCACTATTACACCATCTTCTGGTTAGCCTTGGGAACTGTGAAAAAAAAAAGCTTACATTGAGAAGGTGGAATACTGAGCTCTGAACAGTCAACAACTTATTAAAACTGCACTTTATTCATACAAAAAAAAAAAAAAAAATCAGTAACATCTTTAGTTAAAGCTAAGCTAGCTAAGCAGTGTTATTTTTTCCTTTCTTTTTTTCTTTCATTCTGGCTCAGAAGGCAACTTACCGGAGTACCAAAAGATGGAGAGGAACTAATCTCTACAACAGGTGGGTCAACTGTTTGTGTATCAGCCACATCAAACGTAGGGTTGACCTGTTGAAAATTAATTACAGTCTTCATTATTTCCAGCAGTACAAGAAGGGAAATAAGACTGAAAGCTTCAGTGAGGAATTGCTATTCGCCACAAGCTGAAAATAAGCCTTAAGAATAAAGGAAGGATGCTGATCCACAACAATATAAAATGCAATCATATAGTACAGAAAGAGAATCCAGACATGCATTTATTAAAGATGTTATTTATATTTTATAAACATCTGTTTCCTCAAAACTAGCTCAAACATTCTTAGCTTAAGCAATAGCAGATTTAGTTTCATGATAAATCAAGAAAAAATAAATCAAAAATACCAGCTTGACATAGATTTACCATGATCAGCTACCTCAAAATCATTTAATATTAAAAAAAAAAAAAAAAAAAAAAGTGACCAATGCTGCTGTTGAAATACTGAACAATAGGAATTATTCATAAAAATTCCAAACTGCACAACTCATTTGAAATTGTTTTTGCAAGTTTTGACATGTGCTACTGCTAAGTTATACTGCTTTCTTTTTAATTGACACAGACACTTAAGAATATATACCGTATCAAAACGTGTTCCATAGAGCAATAAACCATTTTAGGCAGCTGAATCAGTGTTAGTTCTGTAGCACAGGGTAGAAATAGAGTGAAGCTAGTCTTATATGGAATACCAAGTTAACGCTGCCAGTAGGTTTTCAGTTCTGGAGCCAGTTTATGTTCTCCGTAACGACAAATAAAGAAACTATAGAAAGCTTTAGCTGTCATATGTTTGCATCACCCATGCTGTCTGCTCTAGTTTGTCCATGGTTCTCCAAATTGTTCCCACTTCACTACAGCTGAAACATACAGACTTAAAAATTATTCTGCAGATTTTTACTTCACCAAAACAGAGATTTGCAGCATGTACACTGCTGGTATACTTACAGCATTCACACTATAACTTACCTTCATGATTATCACAGTTAAAAAACCTTATAGTTCAGCACCACATAGCTAAAAACCTGCACCATATTAATACAGGATACTCTCTTTGCCCTCAGATAATCTTTTCATATATGGAAAAATTAGTATACATACGCATTATAAGAAGGCCAAATATTTTGTTGGCCAGAAGTTGTGCTGCCAGTTATGGAGATTTACAGCCCAATGCATCCAGCTTCTTGTGCTAAATATGTTAAGTGAAAAGGAAGCTTGTTTATTTTGTAAAGACTGAAATAAAGAAGGACTAGATGACTTTCAAAACACCATGAAGTCTGGTGTAGCAAAGAGAAATGCATTTTCCCTTTTTCAACTTTTTATCAGTATACCAACAGCAGCCTTAGCAGAGGTGGCATTAATTCTATCTATTTCATTCTAAAGTGCATAAAAATCAAACAAGAAAAGAAACAAAAAATGTTCATCTTTCATAAGAAGACATTGATGCTAAATAAAAAGATAGCAAATTGATAAATTAATTAAGTTAAAAGATAAAGTTCTAAATGACTCATGCAAAACATTTCCTAGAAAAGTGATACAGCTAGCTGTTAAATAGTCTCTCCAAACATACAGAAAAAATTTTGCTTTGAACTTGATTAACCCTTGTTTTTTTCATAGACTGGAATTCTCAAGGCAAACAAGCAGTAGCCATATATTCTTATTTCTACTGCCATCTAGTGTACATGTGGATTTCTAACATCTGTGAAAATATCTGCAACTGAAAGTACACTGACATTTTAATGAGAAACTAAATTAACATTAGATTATCGTGCTGAAGATGGAAACTCCACATATCTTTAAAAAAAAGATAGCACTGGGATTTTTACATGTTAATGGAAATTTCACTTTCTATAATTGCCACTTTTCCAAGTGGAACGCATCTTTCAGAATACTGCAGTAAAACTGTGCTACTGATTGAACACACTATTTTCAAATACCCTCAAAAGCTCCTTAGCTCATAAAGGAGACAGTGACTGGGGTTCACCTCATTTTAAACTTAGACATACTGTTGTATTTGAACTGGTCATCCAAGATTACCTCTATGGTCAATGGAGAAAAGTGAGTACTTCAAGTCACTTACTTTTATTTCCGAATTGTCTGAATAATTGCAATGGTCACAAGCTTTAGAAAAGTGAAGCAGATCCTAGTGCATTGTTTCCTGAATAATCAAGAATTGCATAGATGCAGTGCAACTGAACAACAGCCATAAAGATTTATAAGTCAGGAATATGAATTTCAAAGCTGTGTCTTAAAATTCAGACTACTACATTCCCTAGGAGCAGCTTACCCAGAAGCCTGTAAAATGCTACAAATGTTACAACCATGCAGAAATGCAGACAATAGGTTAAACTAAATCCATCAAAACAGGCTTGTAAATAATTTCCTGACATTCAAATATCAGATTTCCCTTATCTGCTCTTTTAGTGAAGATAACTAGGTGCTTGTGAACCTTAGTTTGTCTGTAGCCTGAATTCAACACTTTTCCAGATCTCCTTGATTGCCTGGAATCAAGGAGGAAGATTGCTTTAGTAAATACGCATTCATTTGCTAAGCATTTGAGTAGTCTGGAAAAATCAACTTGAAAAGAACTCAACCAAACCCTGAAACTATATAAATTAACCTGTGTTCTTAGCATTTAAGTGCTTTCAAGTGTATGCAATTTGAACAGATCCTGAAGCAAGCTGCTGATGCAGGAAGGGTAGTTTAAATGTGATGGTAAATGCTGTGGCTGAGTTTGTTCAAACACTGACCCTTGATACTGAAGGCTGCTACAAACAGGACTTACACTTCATTCATTGACCTTGCAATGATTCATCATTGTCCATGAGAGAAGTTTATTTATCAAATTGTCATACAAAAAATTACCCTGCTCTTACTCTGACCATGATCAGAAAGTTTCACATCTAACTTGACAACAAACCAGATAAGTGAGAATACTTAGTGATGGATTCTTTTGGGGTTCCTGACCTCCACCAAAATATTTTCAATCTTTATAATACTCAGATTGAATATCTGCGCTTTCTACAAGGGTGTAGTGGTACTGTCTTCATGCTCAGGCCCATTCAATAGGGAAAGGCAAACATGCCTGCAGAGGCACACAGTGGCACCTCTCAGTGTCAAGTTCAAATCTTTGAAAAGTCAGAGAAGGAAACAAATACCATAGCAGCATTCTATTTGAATAAAAAACAGATAATGGTGAATTTGTATAGGTCCCTATTAGTAATGACAGAAGTCAAATAATTAATGGATCTATATACTGGACTCAACTTTTGGACAGTAGAGACATCTGGAGAATATCAAAGATATAAAAATGTACGTAATCGTCACCAAGTAAAAGCTATGCAGATTTACCAAAGGCAGTCACAAACATATTCATGGTGATTTATGCACAAACAATTGTCTTGTCTATAGCACTGTAGTGTTCACCTATTTAGCTTAACTATCAGACAACCTGACAATAGGATTTTCCAAACTGGCAGTATTCAACATACCATTTTGGTTCCCCAACTCCCAGTACTTCTAAAGCTTCCTAATAGAAGACCTGACAGCAAAGCATCTGCAGAACAAGATGCAGGAAATCAGACTACATGGACCTACTATGTCATAATGACACGAAAGAACTCCACTGTCCTAGAAAAGCTTGATACTTTTTCACATCAATAACGAGATCTTCTCACAACATCTAAAGGTTTTGGAAAGAGGGGCAACTTATGACGATCTAGTTTCTGAATATCAGTAACAATGCTACTTTGTGTGCTCACTGAAGATTCAGATATCTTCTGCAACAGTTTGGTATGGTACTTCAGTAGAAATCAGACTACCTGTCTGCATTTTTTTTCTAATTAGAAGGATACAGACCTACACAAGAAACGTGAAAGGAATTCTATAGGATTATATCTAGCCTAGTAATGTTAACATGAATTTGTAAGCTATGATTGCTTCCAAAATATTGTACACAGCAACAAAAAGTCTTCCAGTACATACAGACTACATTTAACTATAAATGTTACACAGATGGTGTTTATAAGTAAGTTTCCAGTTTCCTATATTGGAGCACTTATTACACTCACCTCAACTGACTGAAGCTTTTCATCATGGAGATGAGGTGATCTTGGGTAAATATCAAGAAGATGAGGAGGGTCATCAGTCTGTATTCTTCTAATGTGGTGTTTAAGAACTTCTTTATAATCAAATGAATCAAAGTTGGTTTTCCATAATAATACCTGTAAAAAAGCCACTATGTCAGCAAATAACTATTTTGAGTCTACTCACTGATAGTTGTTAGCATCAATAGATCATAACATCAGAACAAGCCTGGTCTATTCTACAATACAGACATTTCTGCATAGCATCTCTTTTATGTAACAAAATAATTGGAAATGTAAGTCATTTAATTAAATTTAGCATAAGTTTCGTGATTTCTGTCTTTAAATACTTGTCTTTAAATAAATGTTTCTAAATACTGAGAAAAATTAATTCAAAAAAGTTCATAACACTTAGCAGAAGATGGCAATTTCCAGAAGACCAATGTTGATTTCTTCTAGTTATCCTCTGAATTAGAAAAAAAAAAAAATAAAAAAGAGATTGGAGCATGGTCTATTCTGCATGGTCTGACTTAAAAATCACTCGCTTGTAAGAGCAAGAGTATTTACAGCAAATATTAAAAATGCTTTTTAGAAAAAAAGCAAAAATATGTAAACATCAGAAAGGTCAAACGTATAAGCAGAAATTCCAGTAAGACTAAACCATACTTCTAGTATAATCTTAAGTAGATGGATTGTCACAAGCTCATTTCAAGTTCAACATCTTCCACTAATCGCTTAGAGCAGTACTGAAAGGCCACAGTGAGGTCTCCCCAGAGCCTTCCCTTCTCCAGGCTGAACAAGCCCAGCTCCCTCAACTTTTCTTTATAAATAACCCAGCCCTTTGATCATCTTCCCTGCCCTCCTATGAACCTGTTCCAACAGGTCCACACCTTTCTTGTGCCAGGGGACACTGACTTGGATGCAGTACTCCATGTGGGGCCTCAGAAAGGCAGAGAAGAAAGGAACAACCACCTCCCTCACCCTACTGGCTGCTCTTTTGATGCAGCCTGGGATGCAGTTGGCCTTCCAGGCTGCAAGAGCACATTGCTGCCTCATGTCCAGCTTTTCATCCACCAGAACCCACAAGTCCTTCACAAGACTGATCTCAAGTTCTCTTCCCAGTCTGCACCCATATCTGGGGTTGCCCAGACCCAACACCTTGTAATTGGCCTTGTTGAACCCCATTCAGTTCATGTGGGCCTAGTTTTCAAGTCTGTCCAGGTTTCTCCAGATGGCATCCCTTCCTGCTATTGCATCAACTGTACCATTCAGTTTGGTATCATCAGCAAACCTGATGAGGATGCACTCAATCCCACTGTCTAGATTGTTGATAAAGATATTTAACAGTACTGGTCCCAAGAAAGACCCCTGGGGGAAACCACACATCACCAGCCTTCACTTGGACACCGTGCAATGCTCTGGCTGTGGTCATCCATCCAATTCCTTATTGAGATTGTTAGGCTCCAAGAAAGTGCTCATGAGAATAAAGACAATTCAGGATTCCTTAAGAATCAAAATTTTCTTCGGACAGAGAAAAAAATCTCATATGAAAACTTCAATAAAGAAAATAAAAGATTATACTAGTGGCTCAAGGAATACATATTGAATGCTTTCAAGTCATTTCTAGAAAGGGTGCTGCCTGAAACATCAAGCGAAAACAAAGTAGTGACTTTAAAAGAAGAGAAAAACAAATTGAGTGTGTATGAATTAATATTATTTGCAAAAAACCTATTTATTTGACACTGAACTGCAACAATTACAAACCATTTTGTTACAGTAAATCAAATGACCTGGAGAGAAATACCTATTATCTCCTTCTCATAATATCCAATCCAACATAGTTAAGCATAAGTTTTTAAATAACATATTTACCAGTTTTCTACCCAAATTTAACTTTAGGATAACACATTCTTAGACAAAATGCCAAGAATGTCAGCATACTCTAATTAACATTAACTGTAGCAAACATTGAGAAGACATTTAATTTCAAAAGACTACACTACAAACCTGACCATCTGCTCCACCTGAGGCAAATTTTTCACCACCTTTTGAAAAGGCCACAGAAAGGACAGGTCCCTGAAGGAAAAAACAAAACAGCAGAGTAAAATGCTATGACTGTAGTCATAGTATTTTAATACACAGAAAAAGAAAAAAAAAAAATCATAGTTATTTAATACTAAAAAAAAACCAATTTCAATAATAAAGGAGCAAATTAGCTATAAAAATTTTTGCATGATTTGATGGATGCATTATTGTTGCACATCTTGGTAAGATGCTTCATTTTGATTACTACAATAGATACTGAAAAAAAAGGTGACACTTTCCATAGATTTTATGTGGAATTAAACAAACAAACAAAAAAATCAAATATATATGACATTTCTCAAGAGAAAGTGTTTGAGAGATTCATTATCAAACTTAAGATTTCTTCTGCATGAGGAGGAAAAGGATTAAAAAAAAATCTATCGTTCTTCACAAAAAATATCTTCCATAAGCTTCCCCCTATGGAGAGCACTGTTTTTCAGTAGACAAAAGCCTAAAGTTCCAAATAATTAACTCTCCAAAATTAATTCATAACACAAACCATTATTCAATGTTAAGCATGCACACAATGCTGACAGATGAATTGCAGTTGTAGCCAAAACTGATGTGCTTCCTTACACACTTGTAGAAAGGTGTACTAACACAACACTTTGCCATTCACTGAAATTTAATCTTCAATTATGACAAGACATTGCAAATGTTACTTTCACTTAAAAAAAAAAAAAAAAGAGAAACTTATTAAAATCTCCACTTTAAAAGGTTTATGGTGTATACCTTGTGTCCATGAAGTGTGTAAATAAGCCTTCCTTCTAAGAGGTCCAGAATCTTAAGGGTACCATCACTAGAAGCCGTGATGAGATAGTTACCAGAAGGATGGAACGATACACAGTTAACTTCTGCTCTGTGAACTAATATACAAAAGACAACATTCAAAGTCTATATAAGGAAATACACACAATTTCTGTGATCTTTTCTACTTCCCCACTCTAAAAGAAAAGTTTGTTTAGGATAATCAGAATGCAGTTTATGTTGAGGCTTTTTCTTTTTTTTTTTTAGGGTCACTGGGCTACAAAAAGATTATTTACAAAATGCCAGCATGATCTGTTTCTCTATTTTCTCCAATAAGGAATGAAATCACATATATCAAAGCAAATGACGTTCTGTAACAGAGTCCCACCCTTTCTAAAACACAACAAATGATGTTTTTACCTTTGTAATGCTGTAGCAGCTTGTTCATTCGAATATCCCACAGTTTCACAGTATGATTAGAACCTGCAGAAGCTATACATGTACCACTTGGGTTGAAATCTGCAAAATTTGGAAACCTAAATATAATTCATGAAAATAGACTGATTAATTGTTTTGGTAGAAATACTTGTTTTTTTAAATAAAGTATTGAGTATGTAAGAAATACCTTACTTGAGTTTCCAAACAACTTAAATAAGCATGAGTGAACAAAATGTGCCTGATAAATCATAGACTCGTTAAAGTTGATGATTCTGTACAACCTGTTTGTTGTTTTTTTTTTTTTTTGTTATTTGTTGTATTATTTTTTTTTTAAAGGACAGCTTACTGACTCAGATATCCACAACTGATACTGGTGTACAAAGTTCCTAGAAGTAAATGCTGCAAAATCTATTCCTGACCATAATGGCATTGATAAACACAAGAATCAAGACTTTTTAAGTAGGAAGTAAAATAAATGTCTCCGTACCTAGATGTGGCAGATCACTGAAGCTAACAAAATACAATCCTCTTCTACACCAAGTAGAGAATTCTTAAAGTTCCAATATTAAATAGCATTATTTAGGAAAATTAATTATTTTAGCTTATGTGGGTGACAGAAGAACTTACAACCTATCTTCAAATATAGCACACATTAACAAAACAAAACACAAATTTAATCTTATTAGAACTATACACTTACATTTTTTTATAGCAACACTTACCCTCCATAATCTATGAAACTATCAATACATGTTTTATTTATTGTATCCCAGATCTTCACAGATTTGTCCTCACTGCAAGATGCTATTAGTCTTCCATCAGGTGAAAATCTGGAACGTGTATAGCAATTGGAAATGTACAGATTGTTAGTCTGAGAAGTATCAGTCACTTTGTATTCTAGACATAAGCAGCAAAACACCAGAACCTGATACGTCTACCCAGAAGTAAAATGTATAGCATTCAAACAACATTTGAATTTCTCATGTTTTTCAGGAAGTAATACAACTGTAAACTTCCCTCTATACTTTTCTTTTCCAGACAACTACAATTAATACTAGACCCATAAGTGATGGAAAGAGAAAAAACCAACAGTAACAGCAGCCTAAGGTTGGCATTTCAGATACCAATGAGATAACATTGAGATTACATGAGATACCAATGAGATTACAGAAAACTGTGATTTCCGACAGCTTCCATTTTTCTTTTCAAGGTTAGATACTTTGGAATTTTATAGGGCCTCAGTGCTTTACAAGTATCATGTTTCTTCCCCAAGACGTTTAAAGTGGGCCTCTTAGCTGGAGATTTGCCATTAATATGGAAAGAAATTATGAAAGAACAATTTTTTTTTTGTCTTTGAAATCTGCTCTGCCTTAAATGGGATGTTAATCTTAGCTTTCAGTACAAAGACTTTATTTTACCTTCTCCAATTCTGTAAATGTAACTCACTTTGACTCATGACCTTTTTTTATGCCATTATTGTTTGAAGAATAGTTAAGAAAATCACTGCCATGAAAAATGAAACTAAACATATGTGAATGCTGCAAAGTAAGCTGTTACCAGAGCACAGACATACACAGGATAGTGGAAGGAGACAGGACACTCAGTGATATACGACCTAAATATCCTTTACTCAGTATCTAAGACCTAAATGTCCCTTAGAGTAAAAGGATTAAGAATCAGTGTCTGATATTCGTGCACATATTAACACAAAGCAAACTTCCAGATTTTAATTTGGAGATAAATGCAAACTATGTGTGTGTGAGATATTGGCTTATTATAATTGTATTATTAGCGATAGATCAGCTTACACCATTCACAGATCTTTCCTCAATTAGTTCTGTTTTAGGAAATAAAGATCCTTTTCAAGGAGTTCTGAACACAGAATCCACCATGAAAGCCTCTTTGAGGAGAGTAAAACCAAAGCTTACTTGGCACAGCGAACCCAGTGAGTGTGTTGAAACAGTGAAAACAAAAGGCGCCGACGTTGAACGCTCCATATTTTTACTGATTTATCATTGGATGCTGAAACTAGGAGGTGGCCATCATGTGAGAAGCTTACGCTACGGACAGATGCTGTATGACCTTTCAGTACTGATGATTCACCATGACTGGAAAAAAAAATAAAATAAAATAAAATAAAAATAGGGTTAAAAAATGCAAAAATAAAAAAAATAAAATAAAAAAAATATCTACTTGGCAGACTACATGTCATCCAAACAGAAGAAAGCAATACAATGGCTAAATCATTGCTGCCAATATTTTTTTTTTGCCTTATTTGCAGATAAAATATTAGAATACAGGCTTAAAAGTGATCATATTTAAGATGACCAATATTTGGAAAATATTGCAACTATCAGATCCATTCTCCATGCAGTATTTGAAAAAGGATTTATTAAATATTTTGATACACTAATCTACAAAATGTTTAAGAGTTAAAATAACACCACTCTTCCCAAGATCATCCTGGATAGCTCATAATTACAGCTGCTTGAAAATAAGTCTAAGAAGACAAATCAATTATAATATTTTCTTTAAAAACACTTCTTGTTTCTTTCATCATTTGTCTCTCCAAAATGAGGTACAGCCATGCAGTTCTTATAAAAGAAATACACCCATTAAACTACAAGTATATTACCACGTGTATTCCTGCACACTCATGAAATTATAATCTCTAAATAGCTAGACTATTTCCTAGAAGAAAAGTAAACAGTAATGAATCACACTACCTGTGCTCTTCTGTATCTGTCAACACCCAGGCTGGGACATGAGAAGCAAACAGAAACATTTACCGTGAAAGGGCCCCAGTATTCACACTGCACATTAAAGAAACATATAGCTAGCATCTCCCAATGACACTCACATGCAAGGAATCCACAGTCTGACAGTACGATCCTGGGAAGCTGAAGCAAGTAGCTGCCCCTCTGGTGAGAAATTCACACTGGTCACAGCATCCGTGTGACCTACAAATTTGTAAGCTCTGCATTGTTTCTTCAGCTTCCATATCATAAGACACCTATCCAAAGAAGAGGTAGCTGGCAAAAAATGATTAAAACATGTTAAAAGTTTGACAATTGTTATTTGAAAAATCAGACCGTATGATTACAGATTTGAAATCACCATCAACTTGCTAGTTTGGGAGGGTATTAGAGGAGGGAGAATTTACTGGGTTTCAGTTGATAGATTGGTTTGCTCGGCCTCAACGCAAGCCTGGCAGCCAGAAACATCATCAACAGTTTATGGCAAGGATATGAAAAGACTAGGGAAGTAAAGGCAAATAATGCTTAACAGCTAGCTCTCCCACATATAGAGCAAGTAAGATGAACATTACACATATCATGAGTGTGGATCCAGATACTGTGTTACCAAATACTAAGAACGTCATTAAAAACAACAGAAACTTTTCAATGATATGTTCAGGAACTTTGTTCTCTGAGATGAATTTTTTTTTTTTTTTTTTGAGCACCTACTACTTAACTCAGAAGAAACAGACAATCTTAAACTCAGGACAACATTTCTTATACTTCATATACCTAAATCGGGATGTATATCTAAAGAACGTGCACCTAAAGATGCCTGTGTATCTAAACAGATGCCTGTTTCAGGCAGCAGGATAGCACTGGAAGCAACTGAAGAAATGAAGTCAGTTAACCTTACATAAAATACTAGACTTTGCAGCTTGGCTCAGAGATAGCATTTTCCTCCCAAAATGACTTCTGCTAGAAGGTGTGGAACTGGATTTTCCCAATACCCATATCAGTAGGTGTAAATCTGACAGAAGCATAGGATATTTAGCCACACCCCAATTCCAACTTTTCTGATCTCTTTATTTCAAAGTAAGCTTTTGCTAAAGGTACTTGATTTTTATTTTTGTCTTTGATTCAGAAAAATGTGACCTGGAGTGGCATAAACAAGAAGGGAAATAAAATGAAAAATAAACCACAATAAAATTTGAAGGAGTCATGTTGAAAACGTGGAACGTAGAAGGTGGATGTTTCCTAAAATTTAAAATGTATGAACTGCCAATTACCTATGGAACATGAATAAGTACCTCACAGACTGCAGACAGACTTTCAAATACTAGCCTTCTTCGCTTCCAGTTCTAAAACTAAGGGAAATATTTTAAGAGATGACAGTATAATAAATTTAAAGCCTGGTTTCTTGCTACTTGCACTCTCACAGGATTATTTCAAGGCTAATGACACAAGCAGTGACATTCTTGTTTTCCTGGAACACCTACAAAAACCTTTCTTTCTCTTCCTTTGGATTCCCCGCTGCCTGTGCTGAAACAGCATCCTCTCTCCATCCTTAGGGAGGTTTCTCTCTTCAAATCACCTCTTCATTACCAAGAAGTTTAAAGGCTATTTATTATCTCTGTTGCTGCAGTTCAAGCCCAGTTAACACCACTCCAGGGTCAGAAGAATGGAGGAGTTCAGAACTTGCACAGGAAAGGGTCAATAACTGGCAGACCAGATGCAGAATTCTTTTCCCGAGGCAACATGAATGCCTTCCTGAGGCAATTTGAGAAGCTTAAGCCCAGGGAAAGAAAATAAATCAAACCTTTGAACTTGGGCTGCAAAGGAAGTTAGGTCCCCTTACCAGGAATATGCCTCAGACCTATCCAAGGAAGCTGAAATCAACTTCAGAGTATATGGTTAATACCTAAGCTTTTTGCTGTAAAGTCAAATATTTTATTTTAGGAAGGAGTTCACAGGGCAATATTGTTGTCAAAAGTAATTTCTATTATCAGATCTAATCTTTAAAAGTTGTAAACGCGTTAAATGTGCGTCAGAAATCACTTCCATCAAATTAACTCTTCTATTTCTCTTTATTTCACTATACAGGATTTTATCTTCTTTGTAACACTGCTTCTCCAATTTACTCAGGCACAGAACCTTAGGAATTGTTTCTTCACCTTTTGATGTACTTTTCTTGTCTCAAGTTCACACTGTGTATACATTAAGCATGCAAAAGGAGAGGAGCAAGAGCCTTCCAACCCAGCTTATGTGGGGTCTGGCAGGGGGACAAACCAGACCTTGACTTTACCTCCTGCCAGCACTTTGCTAAATAAGCCAGTATCCTAACGCTTGGCTTCCTGTTATCATACCACCTGTACTTTGCCTATACAGATCTCCATGGCCAATTCAAAGCATCAGAAATGAAACAAAACAAACACAGGAGGTCCAGAGCAGTTTTTTTGAGAGGAGCTACATCAGGGATCTGGGGCACATTCTCCTCCCAGAAATACAATGTAACCAGAAATCCATGTAGAGAAAAAAAACTAACCAATGCTGGCTGTAGCAATGATAATAACTGACCACCTGCAGCCTGTAACTAGAAAGATAAAGCTGAAAAACACTCTCGGGCTACTTCAATATGCAACTTGGTCCAGTTCATAAACTCAAGGCTTTCTGTACATACAGCAAGTCTGAAATAATGCTAGAAAATTTGTTTTTGTGGTCATGTGTTACAATAGAAGGGAATACCAAAGAACAGAGACCTGGATTAAATGCAAAGGTCAAGTTTACACACTGCTTTGTTCCTGTTCTCTAAACAAACACCTAGGCTTTCAATAAGCCAAGAAGAATGTTTAAGGTATTCTGCAATGAAATCAAGCTCTGCTTTTCCTATAGGACACACACGCTCAATTGTGATGAGGAATGTGATGTGAAAACATACAAACAGGCATGGTACAGCATACTGAAAGGAGAAATGAAAACAGGTGAACGGGCATGCTGAGGAACATGTTGGGTCCATTCGCATATGCTGAGGTGTGATGCCAACAGGTGTATTCACGTGTGTGGCATGCACATCATACATGCTGAGCTGTGTGGTGTGAACACGCACCTTTAGGCACGCTGATGGATTTGGTATGCACACACATGCTGAAATGTGTCTGCAGGGCTCAGCCACAACCCCGCATGCAGGCTCTCACATCGTCAGCGCTACTGTTATAGAGACACTCTCAGTGCCCAACAGTATTGCCATCAGCCTGAAACCACACACAGTATCATTTAGACAGTCTGAGATGCAGGCATTCACTGCCAATTTGTCCTCACTATCCTTTACAAATCCTGTGGATACCTACAAGTGCTATCTCAAGTCCTCCTCACAATCAGTAAAATATTTCCTGAGAGGATTCTGAGTATCCTCAAGGTCTTCCAGTATTGCCAAGAAGATGCTTTACCAAAATCATGTGTCCCGACTATAAGAATCAATCAGTGACAGTAAATTAATGATGGTCTTGCATTCTGATTTGCTGAAAGAACTGGGTGGTATTCACTGACATGCACCACATGGGGCTGTGTGCATGCATAGCCAGGGGAGAATACACCCGAAAGACAAAGATTCCAATTTATTCCTATACCAGTCTGATTCTTGAAAATACTTAAAAAAGTGGAGCAGTAAGACATATTTGCAGAAATATGAAAAAATACTTATTTGAAGCAGGATTGCAATTAGATTTTCTCAAGAGTTAAGCATTCTTGCAGATACAGCTCTACTTCCAGCAGTGTTGTCAATTTTCAAGATCTAGCTGGGTAAGAAATCTATTACAAGTTATATACATCTTTCATTAGCTTCATGGTTTGGTGTTTTTTTTTTGTTTTTTGTTCTTTTTGAAGGATTTGTTCTGACTGCTGTGGTTGACCTCCTATGCAATGAGACAACTATTTGTTTGAGTTACAGGATATCAAGGAAGAAAATAAATATTTTGACTGGAAACTGATTGATGCTGAATCCATTACTTAGCTTGTTAAAAACTGAAGCATACTGCTCATTTTTATTTGAGCTTGCTTCTTTTTTAGCCTCTGAACTTGTAATGTATTTCTCTAGCGAGTGCACATAGAATAAATCCCCTTATACTTCCCCCCTACCTCTTAATCTACTTTTTCTGTTCAATTAAATATTATTAAATAAAATAATATAAAATAAATAAAATAAAATAAAATAAAAAAAGGTATTTATAACCAGCACTATCAGTTACTGTTCATTTCAAATATGCTTATGACATTTAAAAATCCCCTCCAATTTTTCACATTAAAAGCATAGTGACAGGCAAAAAGGACACAAATTACCTTGATTCTCAGTCACACTTCGTCTTTGGTCACTTTCTATCTTTCAACTTGTCTTCATCTTTGTGTTTCATTATTGCCATGAACAAAAATGATTCATGACCTGTAATAATGCACTATTTCTCTAGGAACATTTTCCAGCTACTAGGAAGGGCAAGTATTGCACTGAATAATGTATTCAAGAATGGTAGTAGATACCCATCTGATAGATTTTCAGTTCATTAATTAGAACTAGAGGATTTAACCAAACGTACTTAGAAATATTTGGCAGACCTCCACCTTAACTATTAATTCCATTTTAAATGAAACCAGGGAAAACACTCAAGAAAATCCTTTCGTCCTGGATCCCTGCTAGTATGCTGCTCTATTAAATCTATTAACTTCCAACTTTCATTTTATTTACTTTCTGCCTGATCAGATTTTCATCAGAGAACAAAGAGCAGATTTCTCAGAAGTCAGCTCAAGTCCAACTAGAGGCCAACATTTCTCTACAGACATGCACGCACAATCTGGCCGTCCAACACACGCCTCATTCAGAATCACCACTTTACACAAGAGACTCTGCCTCTTCATGTGCTTTGAACTAAAAATTCTGAAAACAACGCTCACAAATCTGTTTGAATGTTATGAAGTTAAAAAATGAGTTATAAAACTTCATAAAATCGTGATTCTAAGAGGTCTTGAATAAGCCATATTTTCAACTCTACCTTGACAGCTTGGACGTTACTATTTACACTGCACGTATCGATGTCAAGCAAAGAAGAGTTCAACTGAAAAGAAAGAAAACAAAGAGAGCACTACTCTCTACTGACCATACCAGTTTATCTTCTTTGGCAGGAAGAAGGTAAGGGAAGTTCAAAAGCATCATCTTTATGGGGCTAGAGAAGGAAAACAGTATTTTAATTTTTTCCCATGGTTCTCACAGAACACGGAGCTCCCAGCTTCAAGGCAACATCAGCAGAATTCAATCACAAGCCACGGAGGGACTCCCACTGTCTATACCCAAGGTAGTATATTATAGCCCCTTCTCCAGTTCTACATAGTATACCCCTTTTCAAAATTATAGTTTGATTACTGATCAACTCAGGAGCAAAAAAATTCCACTGAAACTGTCTTGCCAGAAAGCCAGGTGGTGACCTGGGTACAGGCAGCCCATATACTGAGGCTCCCTGCTCTGTCTGGTATCCTAACACAGTGACCTGTGCCACCTTGAGATTTGCCTGAAGTACTTCCCTATCTCTATCTTCTCTTTCTTGGATCTCCCACCCAACGCTGACAACAGCCTCACACTGATCCTCTTCAGCTTGCCACGCAGCATTCCTTGGGTGCAAAGTGCCATGAATGTGTCTTGAGAACACAGAGAACTCAGCTCATCTTCACACACTTGCAGTAAATGTTCTGGAGAAATCACAAACCCTAAATTAATGATTTCCCCTGGATTCACCTGATTGACAACTTCAGCCACGTTTAATGACAAAAAGCCCCCAAAGAATTATTATTCAATTCAGCATTCAATTCAGGCTTTTTAGTTCAAACATGGAAATCCTGAATTCCTAACTTTTTCCTAAGCCCTACTGCTCACCCACCAAGACTCTATGCAGTTCCCATCTTTTTATTTTATTTTATAGTTAGTTCTGAGACACAAACATACTCAGAGCGTTCCAGCACAGTACAGATAACTGTCAGCAGGAACTATGCTCATCATACTTAACCAAGTAAGATTATCTCTAACTAAGAATGCTTTTTGAGTTGCAGACTCATACAACAGCACGTCAGAAATTGATGAACTAAATAAAGTAACAAGTAAATTAACAAAAATTCCTTTCATGGAATTGCACTACAGAAGAAAAAAGAAAAAAAATAAATAATCAAAAGGACAGTAGAGGTGATACTTCGTCCTGAGTTAATACAGTGCAGTTAATGTGCAATTTCAGACTCCACCTGTGTGCCCTGGCAGATGTGAATACAAAGCCTTACAAAGTACAGTACTTATCCAAACAAGCTGTGCTTGATTGCCATTTTCTGTCACACCACCATGACAGCACTGAATGTTTCATTCAAAACACATGATTCCACATCCTCTGATAATACAACATGGTTCCAGCATTTTGTGTACTACAATTTCAACTCCATCAGAGGTGGTACAACATACATCAGTATTACAAGAAAGTTCAAACTGCAGTGCCTGTGTTCCATCATGAAATGTATGTATGTATATATAGATACAGAAAAATAAACACAAGGTACCTCAGTATGGAATTACGTACTACGCCTCCATTTCCTGGAACACCACAGTAGTGACTACAAGATAAAGTTGTGCAAAAGATCAGAAAGGATACACATAGCAAGGCTATCCCAGCTAAATGCACCACTTGGTCACTCTTCCTTTGCCCCTACATCCCATCTGCCCCCTTCATACTGAAACATGCCCAGCACGATTAGCTCACTCGGTGCAAAGATTACACATTAAATGGAGAACAAGAACGTGTGTGTGAATATTTGAAGAACAACAATACAAACAGGAAAATCTCACACCCTACAGCAACGTTGCAAACCACACTGTGATAAGGTGCAGCGTCACAACACAAACACAGATAGCAGCGATTCCAAAAATTTCCTACTTCAAGGAAAAGAGTTAGCAGTTAAACCTCTGACCAAGTAACTAATGTGGGATTCTAACAGTGGACTCCACATGAAGAAATTTCAATAGCTCCCACAAAGATCACAATCGTGGCAATTTCACCATGTAGCATAAGCTATTTATGCAAGTGGCAGAGAAAATAAATAAATTAAAAGAAAAAACAAAACAAAACTAGCCAACAGTTAATTATCATTCTGGATTTTATTTTTCAAGAGAAACCTCAAAGTAATCTCACATTCATTCAGTGTTAAATTTACATTCAGTTGCTTAAGTCACATAAAAATCAGTAGTTTAAAATATATACAAGTGCTCCCCAAATTTTTAAAATTTAAACAGAATAGAAAATCTTCCACAGCTACAGATTTTCCAGGAATCTGCACTGGGAGACGACCAGACTGGAAGATTTCTGTACAATTGCTACAACCCAGTTCAAGACTAGCTGAACTGGGAACAGCAAGCTTTTCTTCTCTCTTTCTTCCCTTGTCTACTTCCCCCTTTCAATTTTTTTCCTCCATTTGGGAGAAAATACACACTTTATGTCTGAAATCCAGATTGTTTACCTCAGCCAGGTAGTTTGCTTTTGCCTTTTTTGGTTTTGTTTCCCCTCCCAGTTCTATTTAGGTTTTAAATAACCACAAAAACAGAAGGGGAGGTACTGGGGAGAAGGAAGAAAGGTTCAAGTATGCATAGAATAAGTTTTTAAACTTTAAGAGGCAGATTCACTTTGATTTATTGCTTAAACAGATAAGGAACACTTCAAATGGCAGATTTAACATGAAGATTGTTCATTATACAAAATATATATTTTTGTCAAATCCTAAAAAAAGTTAATTGCATAAAATTTGCATAGTCCATATTCACGCTTTTTACTTTCATCTGAGGAAACATGCATTGCATATACAGCTGATGCTTCAGTCACGTAGAAGAACCCAGGCCTTTTTACTGTTGTACCTACTGAACATAACAGCCTACAGCAAGCTTTTCACAAAAGCATGTAACTTTGTATAATTCGTTCCTCCAGTACTTAATGACTGGTTGCCTTTTACCATTTGATACATGATTCATAACTTGTAGGTCTGCAAAACAATTCCTTACTGCAGTGGAATGGATTTTTTCCGGAATGTCTCCCTTATATAGTAAAGAAGCTCCTTTTACCCCAAAATTGTATTTGGGGGGGGAGAAAGTGAGAGGAAAAAAAAAAAAAAGAGAAAAAATTAAGTTGTAAGTAACCTCCTAAAAGTAAATTAGAGGCTTAAAACAATTCATGCCACACAGTGGCAAGCATTTTGAGCATGATTCAACATTGTATCCCCCACTCCAAATTTTCTTCCTCTGCTCCCCTTCAGTCTCAGCCTGTTTGCACGCAAACCCTTCCGTTCTTCAAAATTACTAAGATACTAACGTATATCTTTCTTAACTCTTGCTTTATTATCTTTAATATAGTCACTTCAGGTTTCACTTGCTCCCCCTTAATCCTTCTACTTAGCAACGCCTTTATTAAACGAGCATCTACTGCATAGCTCAGCTGTCTTTATCCAGATTCTTACTGCTCGAAGTTCAAGTTCCCACCAGCCCAGAGTCAAGGATTACTATACTGTGGCTACTGAAAGACATTTACTACTTCAGTGTAAGGGACCAAACAAACTTCAAATGCCCAAAACATAAAAATAAGTGTTCAACTTAATTGCATATAACTAAAAACCACAGAATCAAGATTTTTTTTTTCAAATACAAAAAACCTATCAGTCATCTACTATCTATAATCACACTGAAAGCTAATCATGACATGATTCTAGAATCGGTGTTACTCAAAGCTCAGTATAACAGGATACAGAAAACATTAATGAGATTTATTATATGGTTCACAAGACATCTTGTTTTCTTCCAATCTCTCCTTTGCCTTTCCAGCCCTCTTTACCTCAGCAACTCCAGACTAGGCCTCCCAAGACACTATGGTGAATAGAAAGAACCTGTGGATGTTGCATTATTTCCAGACTACCAAGTGTGCAGAGCATGCCAGCTGGTGACAAACATATAATACAAAATAAGACAGCTCAACTTTTCCTTTGTATTTCTCCCCCCTACTCTGCTGTCAGTCTAAAATGTGTAAGATTCATTAAAATTTAAAAAAAAAAAAAAAAAAAAAAGATACATGGCAAAGTCAAATAGACTGTGCTCTACAAAGCCCAACTTAATGAAAAACTTACACAGTGATGTAAATATTAAATACATAGCAAAGAAACAGCAGCAGCTAATGCAATTCTGTGCTTTACTTACTACCTTCCAGCAGAACTCATATTTCTAACCACTCATTTCTTCCCATTTGCAGCACCTCTAGCATGTCCTTGGTTTCACTGCTACTGTGCTCTCTTTTCTAAACTTGAGACTCATCCTGGCCAGGTGAGTTTTACAGAATAGGAGCAAGACTGCAAAGCTGTGCCCAGATCCATACACTCTAAGAAGTGCTTCCTTCTCTTCAATGCGGTATTATTGTTAGAGGTCACCCTAAAACCCTTAATAGCATGTAAATTCCCTAGGAAAAATATTCCCAGAATATTCCAAGACTTCAGATTCAGCTTTCCACATCAATGTCAATGCAGTCACATGCTATTGCAGAATAACTTAGGGCAACAGATATGTCTATTTCGATGAATCTGCAAATAGGTGAACACTGCAAGAACCTCAACTTTACTTCAGTAAGTACAAAAGTTTTACTTGCACGTAACATTACTGTGCAGGCTTAATGCGCTCATTTTCTAAGAGTAAACAATGAGAAAATCCCTCTTCAGTCCACTCAAAAGGATTTGTTTTGCCATAATTAAGAGAGACCAAAATAAGAAACTAATTGGTCAAAATTTTACAAAAATAGAAGGCATTAGAAATGTAAATCACTGTTTAAGAAACTAACTCCCAGCATTTGCTTTTGCTTTCCATACAGTTCACCACAGCAGATAGTTTCTACACCACTACAGGAAAGACACATCTGAAGACATTCCAAGGTATACAGTCAAACGTTGCTATCTGCTCACATATGTAAAAACCTTGGAGACTCTGCTCAATTTGATCCTTAGTACCGCTAGTGATTATTTCTCAAATTTCCACATCTGATTTTTATCTGCAGCATTACAAGTTCTCATTTCCACATCAGCACGCCCCTCAGCAGTACGATAAGCAGTAAGGCACTTTCCAGAATGAGGATGATAAATAGTCCCATCTTCTTTGAAATGCCATATAATAATTTCTGGGACAGGAGATCCATCTTTTGGGCAGCTCCTCATACCTATGAAATCCTCTTGCTCAGGGACTTCAGCACATAGCTCCGTCACAGAGTTAAACCTAAACTCTTTATTTGATGTGTATTCAAAAAATTGATTCCCTCCCTGACCATGACATCCAAAGAGAGAAAGGTGAGCTCCAGTAGGATTATGCTCTGGTAAAACGTAGTCAAGACACTCTGACGATATGCCTATGCTGCGGACAGCACCGTGCCAACCAGGACGATCTTCTGGTACGTGCAACTCAGAAAAGACATTTTTCAAATACCAGTTAAAACTCTTGCATTTCAAACGCTCTCTTAGTAGCTTTCTCTCAGAAATATCTCCATAGTTTTCTTTTCTCGCTGGAGGATTTCTGTTGTAGAAGTGTTCTTTATACTCATCCATCCACACCTCAGCAGCACGCGCTGTGTTCTGAAGGAAATTCGGTCTAGCATACGGAGCACGCTTTGGAAACACATGGCCTACATGAGAGCACGGATGAATTTCTAGCATGCCTCCACACTGCCACACTCTAAATGATAACTCTAAGTTCTCTCCTCCCCAGACATCCATTCCTGTATCATAGGTACCCAGGTACTCAAAATACTTCTTGCTGACAGCAAACAAGCCCCCGGCCATAGTTGGGGATCTGATTGGGTCTGTTTCAGATTTGCGCCTCAGCCGTTCGTGTTTCGGCACTGAGTGCCACTGGAACGTCAGTCGCCAGTCGAAGCCCCCGATCATGGGCTCCGCTGACTGCATGTAATACTCGAATGTGTTCCAGTCGATGGTGTCAATAACAGGACAGATCACAACGGTCTCATTCTCGGCAATTCTCTCAAGCAATGGTTCTAACCAACCGGAGACACATTCGCAGTGACAGTCGAGAAAGGTGAGGACATCACCAGTAGCAAAGGTAGCTCCAATTAAGCGCGCGCGAACCAACCCTTCCCGTTTGTTGGTCCGTATCAAACGAACTCTTTTCAGGCTGCTTATGTACTTCTCAAGGTCAGTTTTCAAATACACTTTATCACTCAAATCATCCACTAATATAATTTCTTTCAGAAGCACTGAAGGAGAAGTTTCAAGAACACTGTGCACTGTCCGCAGCAACGTGGACCAGGCTTCATTGTAGAAGGCAATTACAACAGAGGTTGTGGGCAGCTTTCTGTAGTTATATGATTTAGTTTTACAGCCACTCATTCGATTGTCTTCAATGTGCCGATGGAGAGAGATTTTATCACTCAAATAAATATTAATTGCATACTTATCGATCAGCTCTGCTTCCTGTTTCTTCTCTTCGGGGCTCAGCTGCAGGCGAGTGGGTTTGCCCCATTCTCCCGGGGCATAAGAATCGGGTGGAGATTTGTCATAAACCGGGCGAGCCAAATCCACCGCCTCTTCTGCTCCGTCCGTAAAGCGCCGCTCCCATTTCCCTTTGGAGATGCTCTCCCCGGCGAGGGAGGCACCGAAGGAAGAAACAGACAGCTCCAAAGCGAAGTAGGCGACCGTCAAGAAGCCCAGCAACGCACAGCTTCTGCGGACCCAAGTCCACCTTCTCGCCAGCCGGATCCTCATGGCAGCCCCTCGCAAGCAGCCCCTCGCGGAGCGGAGCTCGGGGAGCCGCCTTCGCCACCGGCTTCCCTCACGCCCCCGGCTGCCCCCGCGCGGGGCTCGAGCCGACACCGGAGGTACGGCAGGCCGGACCGGGGAGACGAGGGGCAGCAGAAAGGCACGGCACGGCACGGCCCCCGCCCGCACGGCCCCGCCGCTGCCCTCGCTTACTTGCTCGCCTGCTTACTTACTTCCTCCTCCCCCTCCTCCTCCTCCTCCCCTCTCATCGCGGGACAAACCCCTCCCCCGCCCTGTGGTTTGCTCAAAAACTTGTCGCTTAAGGAAGAGGCAGAGACTCGCCGCCCGGCCGGCGCGGGAGGCCGCCCCGCCCCCCGGACCCGCTCCCGGAACCGCCGCCGGAGCGACTCAGTCCGGCGGGCGGGGAGAGCCGCCTCCCGCCCCGCGCACTCACCGAGCTCGGCGGCGCTCGCGCTGAAGGCGACGCCCGTCACCGCCGCCCCGTGGCCTCTGAGGGGACGGATCAAGACAGGGTCCTCCTGAGGGAAAGCGGCGCTCCGTCAGAGCCGTGGCAAAGACCCGCGCCCTTCGCCGCCCCCCGTCCCGCTCCCTTACCAGCGCGGAGGCCATGGGCGGAGCGGGCTGCTGCGGCCGCCCGAGCGACGCCTCAAACCCCGCGCGCTCCAGGCCGGCCGGTCGAGCCCCGAGCTCCTCCGCGGCGCCCGCCTCGCGTCCTGCGATCCGCCCATTGGCGGCCTCACGGGAGGAGCGGGGCGGGGCTGTGCCCTGCCAGCACCCGCTCTCTTTCCCGCCGTCGGTACTCGATCTTTTTTTTTTTTCTCCCCGACTAAAGCCTGTCGTTTTTCTTCGCTGTAGGAGCGTCACCCAAGCAGCAGACTTGGCAAGGAGTGCCTGAGGGTAATTTCAGGAGTCAGTCTGCAGTGCGTGTTTCTGTCAGTGCTTTTATCTGCCTCTTCCTTCCTTCAGGGGAGCTGGGGAAAGGACAAAACCTTCAGAGCTGGTGAAAGTTACGGCCCGCATGTCCTGGATCTTCCTTTAACGCAGAACAACTCTAAGTTGTAAGTAACACCTCAGTGAGCGATTTTGCATTAAACAAGCTAGTGTTGGCCTCTTCTCCCCCCCTCCCCTTCTTTATTAACCTGTTTGTGCTTTCCACATCTCCCAGTTAGTGTTTGTACTGCACAGAGTTGTCTTCAAATGCTCCTTTAATGATTCACAGAATGGGTTGGGCGGGAAAGAACGTTAAAGCCTATTCATTTTCAACCCTCTGATAAGGGCAGGATTGCCATCCACTAGACCAAGTTGCTCATGATCCCATCCAACCTGGCCTTGAACCAGGGATGGGACATCCACAGTTCCCCTGTGCAACCTGTTCCACTGCCTCACCACCTTTGGAGTAAAAAAATTTCAACATCTTACCTAAATCTCCTCTCCTTTAAACCATTCCCTCTTGTCCTACCTCTGCCCACACAAAAAGGCTGTCCCCCTCCTGCTTGTAAACTCCCTTTAAGTACTGAAAGGCTGCAGTATGGTCTACTAGGAGCACTCTCCCGGCTGAGCATGCTCAACACCCTCAACTTCTCTCCATAGGAGAGGTGCACCAGCTCTCTGATCATCTTAGTGGACCCGTTCCAACAACTCCATGTCCTTCCTGTGCTGTGTGTCCCCAAAGCTGTACTCTGTACTCCAGATGGGGCCTTACAAGGGCAGAGGAGAGGGGGACAATTACCTCCCTTGTCTTGATGGCCACGCCTCTTAATGCAACCCATGATACAGGTGGGCTTCCCAGCTGCAATGCTTTAAAAAAGTACAAGTAGACTTTTTGTTCTGTTTAAACTACAAAAAAGTTACTGCTACTAGTGGTGCCAATGTTTGTGCAGCCTTTCAAATCCTTAGATACGGAAACCAATCTCAAGGGGAAAATACTGCTTCAATAGTTATACTAGGAGAAATAGGTAAAAGCAGTTGGCAAATGGAAGGCTAAGGTTGCTATCAGGCTGTAGTTCAATATGCAGGCATTCATGAAGAAATAGCTTATACTGCAATTACCCTTTTTTTTTTTTTTTTTTTTTTTTAATCTAGCCTGCATTTTTGCAGCGTTTCATCTGACATTGAACTCCAACATCTATAGAATCAGGTTAGTAATTAGGCCAACATGTAAGATTGGTCAGTTACAGAACAGCTCCAAATCAATTATATTTAACCATGAAATTTAGATTTAAAATAGCAATTTAGAATTGCTAGAAGAAGCAGGATTATCACGAGTATGTGAAAAAGGTTTCCATTATTATCTTCTAGTCAGACCTTTCATTGCATACTGGTTATTTGGCTTTACAGCTTCAGAGCTTAAGAGAAGTTTTTCAAAAAATGAATGGTGGGATACATTGACTTAAACTTTGACCTAAGTAAAACTACAGCTTTATGTCATTATTCGTTCTTGGCTTGGCACTGAATTTTTCCACACAGCACTCTAATTCATCCCTTCATGTTAACTTCCATGACTTAACTATTACAAAGTAAAAATCTAGCATTAAAAAATTGGTGATAATAAGACTTGAGTGTCCTACATTCTGCCGTGTTGTAGGAACACTGAGGTATCCTCATTGAGTTCACTTGTCCTCCTTACCACTATGGAAGTCTTCCAGCCACTTCTTTACTGTTTGTCCAGCTATCCCATTTCTCCTAAGGTTTATTGACTGAGTGAAGCCTATCAGCAGGGAAACAGCCAAGCACCCATGGGCTGTATGCATCTGGGAAGCAATTTTAGTACCAGTTCAAGTTGCTGCATTATATTTTCTGAGAGAAATTATCCTCCACTTCTGTAATTCACTGTTGCAGTATCTCAGTATTTCTTGTATCTCGTGTTCTGGAAGCCAGTGGGCAGGAGTCCTTGGCATTATGTTTACAAGCTGATATAAATGGGAGTTAAGTAATAATGAATCTTTCTCCTTTTACTGCCAGCTACATCAGCTGGCATCAGGTACATACATTTCCAGCAGATCAGTATCTTTTATTCATTTTAGAGTGTTGCCAATTAACAAAAATCTGTACCTGGCCCTAAAATTCCTGACATAGTGCCAGGTGATAGGCACAAAGTGAAGAAAGAACTACAATTACTGAAAGGAGTATGGATATCGCTGTTTCTACTGGCTGAAAGTTTCTCAACTTTCAGGGTTTACAAAGTTAATCTGTTCCTTGCTGCTTTCCCTCACCTGAGGGCATTTTGAGGACTCCCAAATGATTGTAGGAGATGAAGTACTCCCTTGTTGCAGATATATAATTAGCTATAATAATTGTAGCTATAAGGCTGGCAGGTAATAGTCTTTATGTAGATTTCTTTTTCTCATTAGCATGCATAGATTTTATTTTTAGAATGATTTTCTGATTCTTGAATCTCCTAATTATTTAGTAAAATTATGAGTTGACATGAACTTTTTTATGGTTGAGAGCAACTGTTCTGTAATACACAGCTGCAATCTGCTATACAGGGTTGTTTGTATGCCATGATGGCAATGACAAATGGTGCATCAGAAGATGCCTTCCAAGCATAATGCCTCAGCAAGCTGCTGCTTTATCATCTGTGATATTGTTCTCAGATACTGAGTTAAGGTAGTGTGTGTATGTCCAACCAGAAACTGTGTATAGAGGAACGCTAAGATTGTAGCTCAAAGGTATGTGGGTTACCTGGTCACAGTAGGGAAGGACCTGATTAAATTATGTGTTGAATTCAAGGACGCATGGACAAGCTTAGTACTTTTCTTGCATACATGTTGCAATGCATACATAAATTAAATTGAGCACATATTGTTTCATAATTACATAGGTAATAATGCATGTGGCACTAGGGATGAACTGAACATCCTTTCAAATATTGGAAGGCCACAATGAGGTCGCCCCAGAGCCTTCCCTTCTCCAAGCTAAACAAGCCCAGTTCCCTCAACCTTTCTTCATAGTAGAGGTGCTCCAGCCCTCTGATCATCTTAGTGGCCCTCCTCTGGACTTGTTCCAAGAGCTCCACATCCTTCCTGTACTGGGGCTATTTTGCAGTTATAGAACTATTGCAACTTTTTCCTTTTGCATCTTTCCAATCTGCTGCGTTGTTTTCTGCTGTGTTAAAAAGAGCTGTGAAATAAGACTGTAAAACTGTGGAGTGCTGTTGGTTTGGAGAAATTTTCTTATCAAAGTCCCATTAAAATCTCTTTACCAATGACATCTAGAACATAAAAGGATTGCAAGCTTGTACATACAGATTTATAATGCAAGGATAATTCAAAAAATGTCTGATGTAACTTATAGTCTAAGATGCATATACCTGAGAGATAACTGGAAATTACCTTTTGGGGATGACAGAATAGTTTTTTTGAAGAAAGTCACTTGAAACTTTCAAAAACATTGTTTGACCTCAAAGACTTGTTGAAGGGCACTCATAGATGCTTTTAGTGGGAAAGCTTGGTAGGTGTATTTGTTGTGTATTCTTATACTCTATGCATAAATCATTGTATCAAATTATTTCCTTAGCCTGACAGATCAGATCAGCTGAATCTAAACAAAAATTGAAATTTCAGGAAAGAGCAATGAGTAGATCAGAAGGAAGTTGTAGAGTGTGTTAAGTATCAGAATGCATATGATAAACTGAGGGAAAGTTCAGAAACATTTTTCTTGTTTTTGCGAGCAATCAAAGAAGGAAGGCATAAAAATTAGTTAAACCCCATGCATTGCTTTCCTGTCTGTTAACTCTTCATAGGACTGCAGATCAGTAGACCTTGATAAGCATCTAGATAGTACAAGATCTGTTTCCAAACAGATCTTTCTAGCTTTCAGCTAGAAGGTAGCTGCAGCCCTTTCAAAGCACCGCACTGTGCTCCTGGCAGACCTTTCATCAGCTGGTCTAAAAAACTTGAGGAGACAGCAAACACTCCAGCTACTGAAACTCTAGATTTTCTTGCTGTGGAAACGGGATGTTTTTTTTGCCACTAAATGCAAGATAGAACCATAATCAGCACCTGCTTCATGTCACAGCTTTCTACTCTTCACAAAAGGTGAAAGATGTGATAGGAGTTTTATGTTAGTGAAGTGCTCATAACAGTATTACGTAGTTCAGAACGCAGATGAGGCTCTTATCAAAGCAAGGAGGCATACATGGCAAATTACCCAATATTTAAGTACTACTAGCTTAATTAAAATATTAATTTACATTTTACATCTAAATCTGCTAATGAGGTAGCTCAGGAAACCTATTAAAATACACGAAAGTTATTGAATATTGAATGGTTTGTATTCATTAAAATCAGTGGCAGCCTCATGTAGATGGCTATGGAGTATTTCGTATTTATAATGTCTGTAATCTGTATCACTGTTCTATTTCCAAATAGACTACATAATCTCCAGTGTAAATCTTCTAATGAAAATGAGTTGCAGCTTTTTGAATTGCACTGGTTATAGCTATTCTATTAGCTAAACTGAAACATTTGGATTCATTTATTTTTGGATTTTTTTTTTTTCCATCCAGACAAGTTAGATATTGCATACAAGTCACATGTATCTCTAATTAGAAATTGGAAGGCATTGTGTTTTAGATCTACATGGTTCTATAGTTCAATAACTATATAGTGGGATGGATTAAAATGTCAAGAGCTTTGATTCCTTAAATAATTAGTTTTATATTTGCATAGATTGATGAAATGGTGACAAATTTACATACGTGGTTAAATGACTTTGTAA